CATTTGTTTTTTATATCTCACTCAAAATTGGATGAATTAGAAAGAATTTTTATATCAAAACTTATATTTACTATCGAAAAAAATTATTTACAGCAAGTTATATAAAAAGTTCACCTTCTTTTATTATAATTTTTTTAAACTCAAAAAATCAAACTTTCTATCCTTTTAGCAAAAAAAAAATTGTATTATCTTTGAATTCAAACACGCCCTAGTATCAATCACGGATATTTAATGCTTTCATAAAAAAAACTTGCGGAGGGGATTCACGGGATCGGTGGTGTAATAGTCTAGGGACTCTGAACTGGTTCAGTATAAGACTGTGGCTACATGTCACTTCCTGGCATTGTGGAATCAGTTCCTCTGGTTCTGTGTTTATATCAAGCTCGGAGACTCCTGCGTGGTCTTCAGTAGATTCACCTCTCTTCCCAGGGATGCGAGATCTCCGTATTTGGTTCCAACGTCTTACGGCTTGTTCTTTGCCTGTTTGTAATGTAACTAGACGGTTTCGGTAGTGCCTTGAATGCTAGCTTGGTCCCATTTTGGTCCTGATTTGTAGGTTAGATACCATACAGACTCTCCTACTTTAAAACCTGGTTCCTCTGATTTACCAGGATTTGGTAAGATCAAATCCAAACGACTGAGTATTATGGACAAACATCATTTTGAGGCAAACTTTCCAATGGTGGCTATAGGGGACCTTCTATAGCAAAAAGTATCTCAGCTAGGTGTTGAGAAATTCTCCCTTGTTGTACTTTCTTAAGACGGTTTTAATGGTTTGCACTGCACGTTCAGCTAAACCATGACCGAGAAGTCCTCACTTCTTTTTTCTAGATTTGATTCATTTTGTCTCCTCTCTTATTGTAAAGACGTTGCTGTATCACCTCATAAGCATAAATAAATAAAGCTAAACCATTAGAACTTGGGTGAAAGGGTGCAGTCCATAGGTCACAGATACCGTTTCTTGTCTTGAACTGTCTAAATTCTTCTGAAGTGAACCAGGTACCATTATCAGATACTAGTGTTATACAAATAAAAGATTACACGAGGAGCTTCTTTTCCGTTTAATTGCTAGCTTTCGAACCTTGCGGTTCTTCAACAGGCGTGGCTAGTACAACAATACTAACAAGATAAAAGCGCGCTTGAGCCATTATATACAACATCCAAATTTACATACGATGGGATATTTCAAATATAATTAAAATAGAAATAAGAATTATGACTATAAAATATAAAACTATGCTAATAAAACTTAAAAATTATTAAAAATTAGATAAAATTTGGGAAATACATTTATATACGCTAAAAGTTGGAAATGAACAACAAGCAGGGGTCCCTCCGACCAGGTTACACTATGAGGGTTATCTAGGGCGACACGGAACATAATTATTGCATTAAAACATGGTAGGCTTCAGGGAGATCTATTTTTCTGTTAATACTGTTGGTTTGAACTAGTGTTCTTGGAATGCCAAACCTGGAAAATAGACAACGTAGGTTCAATGGTTTCTCTTGGCTTCTATCCACCTGGTACATACGTCCACTGCAATGATGTACAGGTTTTATTCAAATGGCCCCAGATGATCAATATGAACTCTATCACAGGGTTGGTTGGCGGAAGGCCAATTGACTGGTGTAGTTCGGGGTGGCATGCTGTCATGGCCTTGGCAGCAGTTACACAGTCTAATGGTCTCTTCAATATTCTTGTCCAGACCAGGCTACCAAAACAAAGTTTGGGCCACACTTTTGTGCAATTCATCCAACATTTTTGCTCTCAAATTTGTAGGAATAATGACACGATTTCCCCAGAATAGCAGACCTTCACAGGCTCCAGTAAGGCATGAGTTCCATTTCCTTTGGTTTTTCTTCACTCCAACCTTGAAGTATATGATCCAAGGCTTGTCTTAAAGCAGGATCTCCTGGTAGGCTTACCCGAATATCATCAGATGTGACTGGAGAACTGTCTAAAGCGTCCATCAGTAATACCATTTCCACAGGTTCTGAATCATGTTCCCTTGAATTTTGTTCAGGAGTGAACATGGGAAGTCGACTTAAGACATCAGATTCTGTATTGGAGGTGACCTTGATGAACTCAATCTTGTACTGATAAACAGATAAAATGATGGCCCATCTTTTAATTCAGTTTGCAGCAATAGTTGGAATCCTCTTATTCTCTGAGAATAGGGTTACCAATGGCTTGTGATCTGTGCGAAGAGTGAAACTATTTCCTAACAAGTAGTTGCGAAACCTTGTCACTCCAAATACAATTTCTAAGGCTTCTCGCTCCAGTTGTGAGTACTTTTTCTCCGTTGGAGTGAGTGTATGAGATGCCCATCGTGTATCAATTTCCCTTTGTACTTGGGACAGCACAGCACCAATGCCTACTCGCTGGATTAATTTTTCTTTAATGTCCTTGAATGCTCTTTCTTCTGGGGTTTCCCATTTTCACTTCTGTTCCTTTTTTAGCAAGTTGTATAATGGTGCTAAAGTGGAAGACAAGTTAGGAATAAATCTTGAATAATATGTAAATAAACCTAAGCCATCAAGTTGGTTGGACTTGGAGCGCCTTGTATAGCTTCAACCTTAGATGGCAATGGTTGGAGACCTTCCTTTGCAATTTTATGACCTAGATACTCTAGTGATGGTGCCAGAAAAGAGCATTTATCCTTTCTCAGATTTAACCAGGCCTCTTGAAATCTTTGAAGTACGAACTCAAAATTCTTCAGATGATCTTGATCATTCTTCCTGGTAACTTGGATGTCATCTAGTGCACAGAAAACCATGGGAATTCCTTTTAAAAGCAGGTCCATCTGTTTTTGGAACAATGCTGAGGCTGAAGATATTCCAAACGGGAGTCGTGTGTACTTGTATAAACCCTGATGCGTATTTATGACTGTATAAAGCTGAGATTCATCATCTAGTTCCAATTGGTTGTAGGCATCTCTGAGGTCTATTTTGCTGAATTTCTCACCACCAGCTGAAGCTGCAAAAATATCCTGGCTTTATTTAGAGGATATTGATCCACTTTAATGGCTTGGTTCGCAGTAATCTTGAAATCTCCACAAATTCGAATAGTCTGGTCAGACTTCAGAAATGGAACAATCAGAGTGGCCTATTCAGCATGGTTTCAAAACTCCCGCCTTGACTAATCTACCAAGCTCTCTAGAAATATTCTCCTTGAGCGCATAAGGAATAGGACATGACTTGAAAAATCTTGGTTTCATTTCAGGATCAACTAGCAATTTAGCTCTTACTCCCTTGAACACATGGTAGCCAGGTTTGAACAGTTCTCTAAATATATGTAGCTGTATTGGCAGCTTATTTTCTGTTACTTTAATCATGTCAACCTTGTATGGCTGGGTTGGTAGTATTTCCAATGCTTCCATCCAATTCCGACCACAAAGGTTAGGGCCTTCACCTCCTACAACCATCAATGGTAGGGTCTGAGTACTATTATGGTATTGTACAGGCACATCCAACATACCTAACACTTTCAAGGGTTGGCCACTGTAGGTTGCCAACTTAACTCTTAATGGATCTGCAGGACATGGATTAGGTAGTTTAAAGAACCTCTGAGTGGAGTGGATATGAGGCTGTAGGCAGAACCAGTATCATATTCCAAAGATAGTATCTTATCATTGATTTGTACTTCAATCTTAATTGGATAGGGTGTTCTCCATAAATTTATAATTTTGAAGATTTGACTGCTGATTTCCTCTCTGCGATGGCGTGTACTTTATTTCCATTCTTATTTGAAGTAGAAATGCGTTGTGGCTTTCTTTTTAGACAACTCCTCCCCAAATGTCCAATTTTACCACAGTTGAAACATTTGGCTTTCAAATTAGGGCATTTATCTTAGATCCACATTTTATGCATGCGTAGTTTTCTGACTTGGTAATCTTTTCTGTAGTAGATGGCTTTAATCTCCAATTACCTTGCTTAATTTTCTTAACAACCTCTGGATTTTTTTACTTTGTAAATCTTTTGCAACTTCTTCTGCTGCTTCTAAAGCAAGAGCAATTTCTATAGCTTTATGCAACATCAAACTATCACCTTTCCCTAACAGTTTTCTTTGAATGCTGTCATCCTCGATTCCAGCTATTAGTCCATCACTGATAGCTTTCGTCTAATGTAGACCCAAATTTGCAATATTCTGCCATCTTCTTTAATTCATCAAAGTATGTTGAAATTTTTTCACCTGGAATCCTTGCTTTATTTGTAAAGTTTAACGTTCAACGATAGCAGATGGGGTGGGGTTGAAATGTTTTTTTTTTTTTTTTTTAATTTGCTCACAAGAACTGTGTAAGCATTTTCTATATCAGATAATTTTTTTTTTTTTGGAATGCAAAGATCATATAAAAGGTTGTACACCGTTTGGGATAGCATTTATTTTGATCAATGTTATTTGCCTCAAAGAAATACTCTAATCTTTTTGTGTATCTCTCCCAACTTTCTGTAGACTCATCAAATTTTTCAATTGTAAAAATAGGCATTTTGAAAATATTTTTTAAAAATTTATCTTTAATTGGAAGATCTCATGCTCGTCGCTAAAATACTGTTTTGTATTTAGGGTTACCGCGTAGTAGTAAACAAATTATTTTAAATCTTACTAAACAGTTTCTATATGTATTTATTTAGACAATTTTAATAGGATTATGCAATATATTTATAATAGAAAATAGAGTAATTTAGAGGGAGAGAAAATAGAGGTAACCTGGGCTCCTGGAGCGTAAAACGCCAACTACCCGAGCAGTAGTAATCTAGATTAGATATTAAGTCTAACTAAAGACGCGGTTGGTTGTTATTTACTGAAGCCAGAAAACAAAGATGCAGAAAGATGATGATTAAAAAAATAAAAATATTGACTGGTCATTATTTATATTATACAAAATTGACCAGTCAATATGAAATATCTATCATAATGAATATGAAATAAATACAAAAATGGAATAATATATACAGTTATCAGCGTCATGCACAATTATTTATTAATTCTGTCACCGTTTGCTTTTGGTTCAGTAATAGAATGCCCGCCTGCCACGCGGGCGCCCTGGTTAAATCCCAGCCGATGCATTTTTTTTACAATTTTTAAAACTCATTTATATTATCTACTTATATATTTGCCTTATTCTGTCTGTTTGTCTGTTTGTTTGTCTGAAGCTCACAGATGGGATTTTTCATAACCATCGGTGGTTCAATGGTAGAATGCTCGCCTGCCACGCGGGCGGCCCAGGTTCGATTCCCGGCCGATGCATTTTTTTTTTTTTTATAATTTTTAAAACTCATTTATATATTATACAAGAATGACATCCACGGCGCCAATTTATAATTGTAACGAATAGTATTTGAATAAAAGCATTTAATCGGGTAAAACCCAGGCGTTGCCCGGGTCATTCAAATGCAAGACAAAATCACCGCGAATGTTTCTTTTTTTTTAAGGCAATTTCTTTTTAAGGCAATTATCGTTATTTATCGTTAATTTTTGTTTCAATTTTATTGAAAAAAAAAACGATATGGTGCCTTTAAAAAATGATCTTTATTACTATGCAGTTTTCTATTTAGTCAATATACCTAAGTTCATGTTGCAAATGTAATTATCTCTATCGATTTAGTAGGTGAAATGCAAAAAAAAAATCGACGTGATGAAATCTTTATGAAAATTCACATTTTTATTTTTATATTTTCAAGACACACACAGTTTGGGGCGGGACGTTTCACAAGAGTGACATCCATGGCGCCAATTTATAATTGTAACGAATAGTATTTGAATTAAAACGTTTTTAAAATATATACGCACTCGGGTAAAACCCCCGGGCGTTGCCCGGGCCATTCGTCTAGTTAAAATATATGTGCTTTTCCTGTCTATGTACAGATTTATGGTCTATGTACACAAGTATACAAGTATGTATACAAGTTATTTGCAAATTGCGTGGCAAATTTGCCCTTTCGCTCGCAAGCAGCGCCTCTAGCGGTGAAGATCGGAGGTAATATCAGCTGACCTAATGGACATGTAAAACGTGTTTTAACAGGACATAGAGAAAAATCTGGAAAAGATATTTTTCGGATTTTTAGTCAAGAAAAATAAATTGACAGGTTCTGGGAAAAAAGTAGTTGTTTTTTATTCAGAAAATGATGATGACAATATTGCTGTATCATATTTAATTATCAGATACAAAATTATATCCGGAAAATTCCAAAAATCAGAGACCATGGGTGAAGCCAGTTCATTTTTAGTATGCAGGAACAAAATTCTAACAGAAAAACATTCATTGAGCAGAAGACACAAAGCCAGATCATCTCTTTATAAAAATATCGCTTCTCAGACACAAAGTTTGGAGCGGGACGTTTCACAAGAATGACATCCACGGCGCCAATTTATAATTGTAACGAATAGTATTTGAATAAAAGCATTTAATCAGTAAACCCAGGGTCATTCAGTTTTTACCTTAAAAATAAGAAAAAAAACTAATCGCATCACCTACAAGGAAGCCTGCTACTACAAATTGACCAGGAAAAAGGAAAAACTTAAGACTAAAACAGATTATCCCCATATTTATCAAAATGATTGAAAAAATGTTTGAACATCAAAGAGAGGCCAGGAAAAGCCTTTCCAAATCCAAGAACAATATTTCCAAGTATCATTCTGGACCAAATGGTAATAGTTCTAGAATATTTTAGAATGTATTGAACTTGTGTACATAAACCAATATGTTAAATAAATTATTTGGATTTTTTTTGCTCTTTTTGAGTAACACCCAATAAAGTTACTTTTGAATAAAACTGAATGAATTCAAAGTGCTTCTTTTAATGAATATCGCACATTCTGTGAAATTTAGTCTTTTAAAATTGACTAGGGATGTGAATACACAAATATTATTTCTTTTTATAATGCCACAACTTAAAATAAAATAAAGGCCTCAATTAAAGATCTGAACTATCAAGCTATCGGCAAGTCGCATAAAATAAAGCACACATAGCCAAGGTGAGAAGTCAAAGTTTAGACCCTCATATATGTGCATTCCAACCTTGGCAAGTTAAGAAGTGATGCCTAGAAAAAAAGCGCGATTGGGCATCATATTCAATTATTTATTATTGGGAGCTTTCTATAAATAAAATTCTTATATCTATATATATAAAAATGAATGTATGTGTGTTTGTTTGTTTGTCCTTTATGCCTGACCAAACCACTCATTGGATCGCCATGAAACTTTGGGAAGTTATTTAGTATAGTACTGGGAAGGTTTCTAGCAAATAAAATATTTGAAATAACTTTTCGCCTAGAAATAATCAAGATAAATATTCTAATTTATCTGTTATAATTCAACAATCTGCTCTAAATATTATCATGATGATACGATGATTTTGTAATGTAGAAAATTAGGAAAGACAAAATTCAGGATGACACGGCAATTTATTTGAGACAAGAATAATGATACAATTCAAAGGCAAGATACTATTCCTTTAACTTCCAATTACCGAGGGAACCAATTAATATTGGTTTCAACTCATCGAGTATTTTTAAAGGGACGGGAAAAAATGTTCACTTTATCGAGAGATTCGTTAAACAAACCTTTACTCGGGTAAAACCCGGGCGAAGCCGGGTACATCCATACAAGAATAATGATACAATTCCAAGGCAAGATACTATTCCTTTAACTTCCAATTACCGAGGGAACCAATTAATAATGATTTTATTCAACTTATCGAGTATTTTTCAAGGGACCGGGAAAAAAATGTTCACTTTATCGAGAGATTCGTTAGACAAACCTTTACTCGGGTAAAACCCGGGCGAAACCGGGTACGTCCACGTCCGCTAGTTTGTATTATATATTTAGTTGCTACAAAAAAATGTGAAATAATATTTTAAGCATTAAAATATTTCTATTTACTGTAAATAGAATTATTTTTTCAGATTTAAAATATTGTATTAAAAGTTTAAAAAAATTAAAATTTGGGCGTTTTGTTTCACAGGACATTCTGTGAAAAACTATTTTTTCCCTAATTATATTCACCGGCAACACGCATCATAAACAAACTCTTCACACGTTGATAGTAAACAAGAAATTTTAAGTAAATATGGATTCTATGCTTTTGGTAAGTTACTTGAAGCCTTTTTGACAGTAATATTACCTTTAATAAAATTACAGGCATTCTAATCGATATAATATATATATATTTGGAATCATTTTTGTGTATCTCCCAATTTATGGAGAACTATAAAACAATAAATAACCTCTTGTTTATAACATTATAAAACAAAACGGCTGACCTAGTTTCATTTATATTTAAAGAAAAATAAATAAAAACTATTTGTTAAATAATAAAATTGTTAATAAAAATTTATAGTTGATCATAAAAAATATGTACGATGGCATATATTAAAAATATATTAAATATTCTTTTTGAACTTGTGTTCCAGAGGCGCGCGCGTACATATATCACCAAAAGCACTTTAAAATCACACTCTTAAATTATGCATTATAGTTAAAAACAATAAAATATTTTTATTTCTAAAAGATATATATCCTAAATAAATATAAATAAAAGAGATATAACTTATTAAACCAATTAGTAAAAATATTTTCAAATTGAATTATAATAAATAGCTATTAATGTTTTAAATTTAGAGATGTTGGTGAGATGTACAATTTACTGACTGAGTAAAAATAAACTGACAATTATATTATTCTATGCTATTATCTGTTGATGTAAAATGTTCCCTATTTCTAACCCATTCCAAACCTCATCTAGTGAATGTTACCACCTTGGCTAAAGTGAATATCTCACCATAAACTCTATATGACTTGTCAATGATAAGGCACTATTTGAATTATTCTATATACAGTTACGAGCGTCATTCTTCGTCGCCTCTGTCACGATTTGCTTTTTTTTTGGAATGGCGCCCTCCTATTGGTCGGCTACGATCACGCCACCTTTGCCCCCCCCCCCCCCCCCCCCCATCTTTGTAACCATTGTGTTGGAGCAGGTCGCTCCTTAAATAAATGCATATATTAGTCAATAACCAAAAGGAATCCTCTCTTTCTTTTTCCCAGTAAGAGACGCCTACAGAAGCCAACAGTACATAGACAGATAAAGCACATAGGCTATAGTTATTAACTAACATATGCAATTATTTAAGGCGCCAATTTATAATTGTAACAAATAGTATTTGAATCAAAACATTCAATCGGGTAAAACACCGGCATTGCCCGGGTCATTCGGCTAGTAGATTAGAAACACAAGGTAATAAGACTAAATCTAAATAAATAAATGGTGTGTGATGTTTCAGTAACAATACTGTTACTGAAATGTCACACAATATTTATTTATTTGAATTTGGTCTTATTTCACTTTGTTAAATAATTAAAACAGGTTTCTGCAGATGGGTTACTTTTCATTTTATTAAAGCTGTCTCAAGCTTTCAGGTATCTCTGCCCTTCTACAGGAGAACATAAATAGACAAATAAAAACACCGCCTGATGCCAAACTTGCCATTACCTTGTGTTTCTATGACTTCTAAAGTTTGAAAAGTTGAAAGTTTGAATAAACATACAGTTAAACCTATCTATAGCGCCCCCTCTTGGGACTCGCCAAAATAGGGTGCTATAGAGAGGGGGTGTTATAGACAGGTCACTTTTAATGTAAATTGCATCGTACTATGTATTTAAAATAGGGCGCTATAGAGACGGAGGTGCTATTTAGAGGGGGCGCTATAGACAGGTTTAACTGTAACTATTTTTTTCTTAAATATCAGAAATATATGAAAACTAGAAGTCTGCTATTATTAATTTACTATCTGAATGACCCGGGCAACGCCCAGGTTTTACCCGATTAAATGTTTTTATTCAAATACTATTCGTTACAATTATAAATTGGCACAGTGGATGTCACTTTTGTGAAACGTCCCGCTCCAAACTTTGTGTGTTTTTAAAATATAAAAATAAATATGTAAATTTTCACAACGATATTTGAAAATTATATTATTTTGATTTTCAAATACTATTCGTTACAATTATAAATTGGCGCCGTGCATGTCACTCTTGTGAAACGTCCCGCTCCAAACTTTGTGTCTG